GAGTTCGGACGGCTGGGCGCATTGCGGACTGATTGATGCATCTTGGGCTTGCTGTGGTCCTCATCCTCTTCCGCCTCCTCCGCCTCCCTCCACCGCATCCACCCACCCCGTCCACCGCTTCCCCCCTCCTCATCCAACTCCCCTCATCCTCCCCCTCCCCATCCTCGCCATCTTTGGGGATACCAAAAAACCCACTGGCCCTTGAGTGCGTGGGTGATTCAGCGAGCTTCCTCTTCCATCACACTGTTTCTCCCTTCGGGGAGGGGTTTACCCCTCCCTGGACCTGGACGGGGGGTCCGCGACTGATTGGAGCGTCCAAGATGGCCTCGGCGAGAACGCAAACATTATTGATTCGGTTTGGGGTCAATTTCTGCCTCCAGGGGGTGGGGACTGCTATGCTCCCCCCCCCTTCTTTGGTCGAACTCCTCCTAGATTGTCTCCCAACGCTCCCAAGAGGGCCCCAAGAGGCACCCAAGAGGCGCCCAGGAGGCCCACAAGAGGTCCCCAAGAGGATCCCAAGAGACCCCCAAGAGGCTCCCAGAGGTTCCCCCGAGGCACCCAAGGCGCTCTAAGAGGCCCCCAGGACCGCCAAGAGTCCCCCAAAACGCGCCAAGGGAACTCACAGAAGTTTTCAAGAAACGTCCGAAGGGACTCCGAGAGGCATCCGAGAGGCCTCTGGCCTCTGGCCATTCTGCTTGCCCTCCTCCTCCTCCTCCTCCTCCTACTCCGCCTACTCCTCCTCCTCCTCCTCCTCCTCCTCCTCCTCCTCCTCCTCCTCCTCCTCCTAAGCATCATCCTCCTCATCCGCATATTCCTCCTCGTCGCCCCCCCATCTCCCTCCCCCTCCCCCTGCCTTTCCTCCTCCGAATCCTCGTCCATCGTCCCCCTCTTGGGGTACGACGGCTTCCCCAACCCCTGATTTCACTGGATGCTCTTCCGCATCGCTGATTAGGGCAACTCGCCTGGGCATCGTTTCTGGACGGGCTGGTGGGGAAACGCGAAGCATATAGAATATCGGTACCGCTACTTCCTCCACCTAAGTATCAAACGGTACGTTCCCAGAATTGCGAGGAGTATCCAGCCGTGGCGACGAGGGCCTCCCAGGAGGCCCAAAAGGCAAAAACAAAAAAGGGTACGTAGCGGCATCGGACTGATTCCTCCTCTGGCCCTAATCCTTCCTCCCTTCCTCCCCCAATGCACTGTAGAAGTACCCATCGGAAGCAAGTGTCAGTGCCACCTGCTCGCAACAAGAAGACACGACTACACCGATGCCTGGATCAGGCCGAGAGGGCAGTCCAAGGCTCCCGTCCCCTCCCTCCCCCCTCCGCCCGAAAGATTCGTAGACGATACCCGAAAAGCCCTGGGGTGCGGGCGAGGGCCCTGGTCGTGGGTCTGGTATACACAATCCTCCCCCTGTATACAAAATTCCCTCCCTGGGGCGCGGTTTTTGTATACTGAACGTGGCCCCAGGCGGTGGAATCTGACTGGGAGGAGGAGGAGGAGGAGGAGGAGGAGGAGGAGGCCACAGGTACTTCCCAAGGTTTGCTTAACGCAAAAGGAGGAGGAGGAGGAGGAGGAGGAGGAGGAGGAGGAGGAGGAGGGTGTGGTACATGAAAACTCTTGAGGACCCCAAGCCCAATGCACCGCAACGGAGAGAGCCAGGCAGCGCGGCACCCGCACCCGCCCGGGATGGGGGGGGAGGGGCGCCTGGGCTACCTCGGCGAGCTGCCAGTGCGCAGCCCCAGGCCCCTCCTCCTCCTCCTCCTTCTCCTCCTCCTTCTCCTCCTCCTCGCCACCTTCGGGGGCGCCCAGGAGAGGGGATCGCGGATCCTGGCCCGAGGCGCGCGTCCCGAGGGCGCGTTGCAATGAGAAGAGGGGGCCATGCAATCTGGGGAGACACGATGGCCCAGCCACAATACCCATCCCCCCAATCATCACCCCTCTTTTGGCCGCCCCCCGACACCTTCCCCAAGCCCACCCTTCCACCCGATCGAAAACTGGATGCATCGGGTCCGCAAGACAACGGATCTGAAAAGAAGGGACAAACGCGCGCGTCGGACCAGACCGGAATCGGAATCTCGCCCAGACCTTCGGGCCACTGAGACTATCAAGGAAACTACGCGCAACGAAAACCAAGTCCCAAGGATGGGGTCAAGAGCCTTCTTTTGATGACTGGTTTCTTCTTTCGCCCCCTGGGAGAGGGGGGAAGAGAAGGGGGAAAGGAGGAGAAAAGGAGGATTCCGACGCCTGAAATTGGGACCGAGACAAGGTGGATAATGCCCAGCAGCAAATGTTGCCCTAAACCGACAGCAACCGTTGTTGGGCAGGCCCTTCTAGCTACCGTCGGACGACGTCCGCAGCGATGACGGCACCAAATCCTGAACGGAACGGGTAGGAATAGGTGTTGGCCTTCGTTCACACATGTTCTTTCCCGCCTCCATGTCTGGCACCGCGTTAATTCATGGGGGGCGATATGCGGGGGGGAGAGAGCGAGACAGAAAAAGGGAGAGAGAGAGAGAGAACAAACAAAAAAAAAGAAGTGCACAGCTCGTGCCTCCTTGGGCCCCAGGCGGCCCCTTTTGGGCCCCTTACGCGCCCGAGAAATGCACCAGCGTGTCGCGCCGAAGCGTGGTGGGCCAGAACCGGCGGAGCGACACGCTATCCGAAAACTCCCGACCGTAATCGCTGAGGCTGGCATGGGAGGGCGAGCGGACGCCGCGGTCCTGCGACCCACGGCTGCGCCATGAGCGGGTCGAGCATGGCTGAGCGTCGCGCGGCCCGGACGGCCCCCGTAAGCAAAAAAACTCTTCCTACTCGGCCTACCGACGGCAGCGCACGGAGGGCGCGCGCGCCATCCTGGTGGTTCAAATCACGACGGCCATCCACGGTACAGGCGGGGGTGGACTTCTGTATATGCAGGGCGACAAGATTTGTGTGTAGGTTCACCGCCCCTGGCCAGGCCCCTCCTGGGCCCAGAGTGGACCTCACCACGGGCGGCGCGCATGTATGGAACCCGATCTTGCCAACTACAGCGAATGAGAACGCGCGAGAATATGCTCGATCAAGAGCGCACGGGGCGAGAAAGATCCCGCCGTCTCCTCCTCCTCCTCCTCCTCCGCCTCCTCCCCCTCCTCATCCTCCTCCTCCTCCTCCTCCTCATCATCATCATCATCCTCATCATCATCATCATCATCATCATCATCATCATCATCATCATCATCATCATCATCATCATCATCCTCATCCTCTTCCTCCTCCTCTTCCTCCTCCTCGTCCTCTTCCTCCTCCTCCTCCTCCTCCGCCTCCTCCGCCTCCTCCGCCTCCTCCGCCTTCTCCACCTCCTCCTCGTGCTCCTCCTCCTCCTGCTCATCGTGTTCCTCCTCCTCCTCCTCCTCCTCCTCGTCCTCCTACTCCGCCTCCTGCTCCTGCTCCTCCTCCTCCTCCTCCTCCTCCTCCTCGTCCTCCTCCTCCTTCGTCTTCTTTTGCGATTCTTAGTAACAGTGTTAATGTTAGTATGTGTCTTACGCTTACCTATCCGGATCATTTTTAGTATGGTTTACATGACAGCTGCACTACGACTATAAGTATTAATAGTATAGGTGTCATGAACTATAGTATTATCACGAGTATTGATAGTACAGTTGACACTTGGTACTAGGAATAACAATAATAATAGCACTACGAATAATAATACTAATAATAATACTGATAATAATTGTAAAATACTAATGAATGATAAATAATCACCATAATAATAATGATAATACCACGAGTAATAATAATAATATTAAGAATAAGAATGACAACAATATTACGAGTATTAGTGTTACAAGTGGTGATATCAGTACTGTTGTTATTACTATTGTCGGATTATCATTACGGTTTGAATTATTACTACGAATAGAAATAGTAGGATTGGGACTGGTATACCGAATAATAATACTACTACGATCGGTAGTACCACTGATGTTATCATAACCGTCGTCGTCGTAGTAGTAGTAGTAGTAGTAGTAGTAGTAGTCGTAGTAGTATTGCTGCTTTCGTAATACATTGTTCATAATAGTATTGATACTGGTTCTGTTGATACTATTATATTGGTATTCGTGTACGTATTGCTATTCTGAGCACCATCATCATCATCAGCATCATCATCATCCTCATCATCCTCATCATCCTCATCATCCCCTTCCTCCTCCTCCTCCTCCTCATCATCATCCTCCTCATATTCCCCCTACTCCTCCTCCTCCTCTTCCTCCTCCTCCTTTTCCTCTTCCTCCTCTTCCTCATCCTCCTCTTCTTCCTTCCTCCTTCCTCCTTCTTCCTTCCTCGTCCTCCTCTTCCTCTTCCTCCTCCTCCTCCTCGACCTCAGCCTCCTCCTCCTCCTCCTCCTGCTCCTCCTCCTCTTCCTCTTCATCCTCCTCCTCCTGAATCGTCCCTCCGTAACCGCGTTTGGCTCCAGATGCGTTCCATGGGGGGGGGCGTTTCAGCCGCCAGGCAGAAGGGACACCGCCAGTCCGCAGCAGCTTTCAAAGCTTCCTGGGGCGCTGACCCCTTCACTCACGATTGCATCCTCCTCCTTGGATAGGTCATGCGCTGCCCCTTTTCCCAAGCTGGGCGGTGCCGCCGAACCGCCAGGAAGCCGCTGTTCGCTGGAACTGCAAGTGGCCTTCGCAGCCCACGTCGGGGAAGCCGCGGTGGAACTCGGCCGGCAGCAAAACAGTGTTCCAAATGTAATTTGCGCTAGGGCGACTGTTTCCAGTCCAGCGTCTCCCCTCGAGCGCCTCGAACGGGAGCGTTGAACCACCGGGCTAAGCGATGGCTGGGCAAAACGTTGATGTGCCACTTGTCCGAACGTTTCCTAATGTCTCTGGCCGCGAAGGGCCGGGACGCGGCGTGAAGCGCACGAGCGGCCTCAGCCGGCCACCCGCGCCGCTCCTGGGCGAAAGGGCTCGCTGGGTCTGGCGGAGAGGGCGCCGCTGGCAGTGGCCGCCCGGCCGCCGTCAATTCAGCGGTGGCGTCGCCAAGAGAAACCAGGAAGTTCTGATCGATAGACTGTGAATTCGGGCATTTTCCTCCACAGGAGGAACGTTCATGTGTTATTCATTTTTGATATAATGAAAAATAATTATGAGACCATTTTTTAACATCTGTTTACACATTATTGAATATGTTTAATTTGTTGTCGAAATCGGCCTGTAGGAGGACATGCCCGACCTTCATATACTGCCGGAAATTCCGAGCCCTTGGCGGATTCACAAGACCGTGGCGTGCTCGGGAAAACTGGCGAGCGCGGGCCTGCATCTGCAGCCCTCCGTGCGCTTCGGCCACGGCAGCCCGAGCGGCGACCCAGACGTCGCAGCCCGAGCGGCGGACTGGACGTCGGGGAGGGCCTTCGGGAAGCTCACCCAACCTGCTCACATCTTTGAGTGCGCACACGCAGAACAAGTCCTGCGGGCCGCAGAAGAGGGCGCGGCACGCCTGCAGCTCAATCGCGTTAAAGGGGCACGGCAACGAGTCAAGCTGCGCAGCAGGCATGATAACGGAGCACAAGAAGACCTGGCAGGCCAAGAGGAAGTGAAGGCCGATGCCAAATTGTAACCGGCGACGCGGCACACCAAGATCATACCCGAGAAGCGGCACAAACACTGTTTGGTCGACATGTAGCTTGACGCCCGAGATGCGCTCGCACTCCAGGAACGTGTCCTGTGGGGCGCCCATGTCCTGGAGGATAGCGGCGTGCACGAGGGCCGCGTCGTCGGCGGCATCATCGTCAGTACCATCACCACCGGGAACCGCCGGTCCAGGCGACAAAGCAGAGTGTCCGATGACACCGCGAAACGCAACGTGGATAAAGGGCAACCTTGGCGGGTGCCCCGTGCCAGGTCGAAGCCAGCATGCCAGTTGCCGCCCAATGCGATGGAGCACGAGTTGCGGCAGTACAAACAGATGACGAAGTTGACCAGCCACGCGAACCAACGCAGCTTGCGAAACACTGCGAACAGCATGTTGTGCTCCACAGACGGGAACGCGGCAGCGAAATCGATGACGAGCGCCCCGCACTCGTCGGACATGCAAGCGTTCGTCGCCATCGCATCCTCGATGTCCATTAGATTTGCCAGCATGCTGCACCCGCAATGAAGCCCCTCTGGGTGCGGATGACTTCTGGTCCGAGGACCGTATTCACTAAGTTGCGAACAGCCTTGGCCAGAACTCGGCTGTCCGTGTTGGTCACTTTCAAAAGCCTCGCGTTCAGAGCTGCGAAGTAGTCCTCCCGTGTTCAGACGCTGCGCATAGTAGTGAGCTGTTCAGAGCTGCGAAGTAGTCCAAGGTGCCAGAAGCTTTCCTGTCCTCGTCGATGGCAGCGCAATCAGACCTGCCCATCTGCAAACGTTCGCAGTGATCTAGGATAAAGGCGGAACGCGCGCGGTAAGAGCATATAGCTTATTTGTCCGCATGCATCGTCTCCGCATGGGGTAGTGTTACATTGAACAGCCAGAGCACCTCCTGAGCCCAAGGCGGTCCTTAATTCAGAGCCTCGGATGTACACCCACGGCGGCACTTGAGGAGGCGAACTCTTCAGCCGACCTGGGACAAGCGCGCCCCACAGAGGAGAACTCGATGCAATACCGCTTGTCTTCCGCCAACCCTCATAAGGCCACCTTCCTCGAGTGTTCACGGCCGTCCCTGGGGACCGCGTCTCCTCCCGCCCCCCGCCCCCCCTTGGTGGCGTAACGCTCGGCGCTGGCAGGGTCTGGGAAGCCCGGTAGCCTTAGCCATGATTGCCTATACGACCACCCTTCTGGTGATAAGCAGGTTCGAGGGGGCGGAGGAACCAACGTCTCACTCAATCAACCTCGCTACCGATATCACTATCGATCGCACAATTGATTTAACTACCGATATGATAATTGCTCTCACTATCCCTCTCACGATCGATATCACAATCGGTTGCACGATCGATCTCACTATCAATCTTACTGTCGATCTCATGATCCGTCTTGGAATTGATCTCACGATCGATCTCGCTATATGTCTCACAATAGATGCCACGATCGATCACACGATCGATCTCACACTCGATCTCACGATCGGTCTCACTATCGATCCCACGATCGATCTCACGATCGATCTCACTATCGATCTCCCGGGACACCACGAGACACCGCGGGACACCCCGGGACACCACGGGACACCACGGAACACCGCGGGACACCACGGGACACCATCACGGGACACCGCGGGACATCACGGGAAACCACGGTCACCACGGGACACCACGCGACACCATCGGGACACCACAGCGGGACACCGCGGGACACCATCGACACACCACCAGGACACCATCGGGACACCTTTCCAAACACCGCGCGACACCATGGGACACCACGGGACACCACCGGGACGCCACCGCGGGACACCCCTCGGCCCCCGCCCGCCACTCGGGCGGGGTGGGGCGGTCTCCGCTCGTCGCCGCGCCCTGGCCAGAGGGCTCAGTCCTCT